TTATAACCTATAAACCCTGTGTATCTGTGTTGTCTGGCCCCTGGTGTAGTGTTATAACCTATAAACCCTGTGTATCTGTGTTGTCTGGCCCCTGGTGTGATGTTATAACCTATAAACCCCGTGTATCTGTGTTGTCTGGCCTCTGGTGTGATGTTATAACCTATAAACCCTGTGTGTTTGTGTTGTCTGGCCCCTGGTGGGGTGTTATAACCTATAAACCCCGTGTATTTGTGTTGTCTGGCCCCTGGTGTGGTGTTATAACCTATAAACCCTGTGTACCTGTGTTGTCTGGCCCCTGGTGTGGTGTTATAACCTATAAACCCTGTGTATCTTTGTTGTCTGGCCCCTGGTGTGATGTTATAACCTATGAACCCTGTGTATTTGTGTTGTCTGGCCCCTGGTGTGATGTTATAACCTATAAACCCTGTGTATCTGTGTTGTCTGGCCCCTGGTGTGGTGTTACAACCTATAAACCCTGTGTATTTGTGTTGTCTGGCCCCTGGTGTGATGTTATAACCTATAAACCCTGTGTATTTGTGTTGTCTGGCCCCTGGTGTGGTGTTATAACCTATAAACCCTGTGTATCTGTGTTGTCTGGCCCCTGGTGTGGTGTTATAACCTATAAACCCTGTGTATCTGTGTTGTCTGGCCCCTGGTGTGGTGTTACAACCTATAAACCCTGTGTATTTGTGTTGTCTGGCCCCTGGTGTGATGTTATAACCTATAAACCCTGTGTATTTGTGTTGTCTGGCCCCTGGTGTGATGTTATAACCTATAAACCCTGTGTATTTGTGTTGTCTGGCCCCTGGTGTGGTGTTATAACCTATAAACCCTGTGTATCTGTGTTGTCTGGCCCCTGGTGTGGTGTTATAACCTATAAACCCTGTGTATCTGTGTTGTCTGGCCCCTGGTGTGGTGTTATAACCTATAAACCCTGTGTATCTGTGTTGTCTGGCCCCTGGTGTGGTGTTATAACCTATAAACCCTGTGTATCTGTGTTGTCTGGCCCCTGGTGTGGTGTTATAACCTATAAACCCTGTGTACCTGTGTTATCTGGCCCCTGGTGTAGTGTTATAACCTATAAACCCTGTGTATCTGTGTTGTCTGGCCCCTGGTGTGATGTTATAACCTATAAACCCCGTGTATCTGTGTTGTCTGGCCTCTGGTGTGATGTTATAACCTATAAACCCTGTGTATTTGTGTTGTCTGGCCCCTGGGGTAGTGTTATAACCTATAAACCCTGTGTATTTGTGTTGTCTGGCCCCTGGGGTAGTGTTATAACCTATAAACCCTGTGTGTTTGTGTTGTCTGGCCCCTGGTGTGATGTTATAACCTATAAACCCTGTGTATTTGTGTTGTCTGGCCCCTGGTGTGATGTTATAACCTATAAACCCTGTGTATCTGTGTTGTCTGGCCCCTGGTGTGATGTTACAACCTATAAACCCTGTGTATCTGTGTTGTCTGGCCCCTGGGGTAGTGTTATAACCTATAAACCCTGTGTATTTGTGTTGTCTGGCCCCTGGGGTAGTGTTATAACCTATAAACCCTGTGTGTTTGTGTTGTCTGGCCCCTGGTGTGATGTTATAACCTATAAACCCTGTGTGTTTGTGTTGTCTGGCCCCTGGTGTGATGTTATAACCTATAAACCCTATGTATCTGTGTTGTCTGGCCCCTGGTGTAGTGTTATAACCTATAAACCCTGTGTATCTGTGTTGTCTGGCCCCTGGTGTGGTGTTATAACCTATAAACCCTGTGTATCTGGGTTATCAGCAAGCACATACAAGAACATATTCCATCCCGATCTGTAACATAAGGTAGCATCTAGGGCTGGGACGAGTCCAAATGTACTACCCGGGTACCCACCCTCCTATCACCCGACCCTACCCGGGTACCCATTGTAGGTCTCAAGAGATAGGTAAAACATGTCCGATTGAGAAGGTTTGACAGTACTCCTGTCAAATTAAATATAGATACAGGTATAATCCGATCTTGTCATACATACACTGACGTTGACTGATGTTTTATCAGAAGGAATGGGTGCAAAGTCGAAGAACATTTATCACTTATAGTGTAACCATAGAGTTCTAGATATTTTTTGCCATTAAACAATATAATCACGTGACTAACCATGGATCTGGGTAGTCCTGTGGGTACCTGGGTCCTACTCTGTACCCACCCGACCCGGGTACCCGAGTTACCCGTCCCAGCCCTAGTAGCATCTGTTGTCTGTGGACAGTCATCAAAGGCACTGCAATGTGCTGTCAGAGTTGCTTCCCTTGGCCATCCAGAAATCTAGGATTATGGGTTTGAATCCTGGTTTGCCCCAATTATGTTTCAATATTTGTCAGCACCACACCCATGCTTGTGGGATTCAAGAAAGCAGTGAATGTCTGAGACCTGCATCACTTTGGACTTTCTCTCACATTAAGCTGACATGCCGTGAAATAACAGCAATTCTGTTCAAAGCCGTGTTAAACCAACTCACTTACCGTATTCGACGTAATAAGCGCCCCGCTCTAATAAGCGCTCACGGCGATATTTTCTGATATATTAGCATGTAAACAAGCCCAATTAGCACCCCTTCCGATTGATCAATGTACACAAGACTTACATATTCGTGTATAATACGTGTGTTATATGCATCCTTAATTATGGGCAATTATATTCTGGAAAAAAAATATATCTGTCGTAAATAAACATTTCAGGCTGGCATTAAAACCATGAAATTAACAATCTTTCAACTCTGTTTTTTTTCACCAAAATAATATTCGAAAAAGAGCCCCCTATTTCTAATTTTGAAAACGTCCTGGGTGCTTATTTTGTAGAATACAGTAATAGTAAATTTGGAAATATGAACTTGAAACTTAAATCCCCATGCTATAAAACATATAACATTACTAGTTTTCAGTGAAAATGTGACAAGTGGGCCATTTGAAATATTTCTGCAACAAATCATCTCTTTATAAACAGGGGACACGGGTGGCCCAGTCGTCTAAGGCGCCGCGATTCGCTGCAGGGAGTTGCGTCCCATGGGCACGCCAAAAACCTATGATTGAGGGTTCGAATCCCGGTTCACCCCGATTATGTTTCTAGATTTGTCAGCACCGTACCCGTGCTTGTGGGGTTCACCGAAGTGGTAAACGTCTTGAGACCAGCATCACTTCGGGCTTTCTTACCACATTAAGCTGACACGCCACGATATAACTGGAATACTGTTAAAGCGGCGTTAAACCCAACTCACTCACTCGCTCACTCTTTATAAACAAGAATACAAACAATACATGAGAGACCACATATGCATGTGTGCGTCAGTATCACTCCCAGCTAGAGGGAGAAAGTAATGTGAAAGCATGAATGAGATTCTCCCTTCCATCCACAGACAAGTTGCTATGGATACTCGCACCCTCTGGCTATCTGACTGACAGCAGGGATTACACATTTTAGAAATTGTTTTCTAAATGCAGATGTATTGTACTGTCTGTACGACTGTGATCCACAGTCTGTATTCCTGTCACTGCCTGCCCTCAGCAGCATTTTCATGAATAATACTCACAGGATGACCCACATTTTAAGAACAAGAGCACTCATTTCAGGATTAGCCATATGGAGTCTGTGTGGAGTTAGGGTAAAATAAGGATGGGGAAAACTTCATTTTTTTGCAGTTTGAATTTAATTTGCATGTTACATCAGTTTTTACATAAATACATGCATCTATGACTAAGACAAAATTGTTATGGATGAGCAACTGCTTTATTACAATTGGGCGACGTTTCGGTGTAGATTCTAACACCGTTATCAAGCAAATGATCACCTCCCTCTAACAAGTCAACTCAACGTCCCTGTTACAAGTCAACTCAACCTCCCTGTTACAAGTCAGCTGAACCTCCCTTTTCCAAGTCAACTCAACCTCCCTCTTCCAAGTCAACTCAACCTCCTTCTTCCAAGTCAACTGAGCCTCCCTCTCACAAGTCAACTCAACCTCCCTCTTCCAAGTCAACTCAACCTCCCTCTTACAAGTCTATTTGAACAGCCAGGCATTTCTGGGTGGTCCTGTGGGAATCTGGATTACAATAGGCCCCCTCCCCCATACATGTTCAAGGCAGCTAAGGGACTGGTCATTTTTGTAGAGGGGAGGGGGCAGGTGAGATTCAGAGGGAGGTCATGAAAACATGACACTGTGGAAGTGGGGGGTTGCCAAAATTTATCACAACTATGAGGGTTTTAGGGGTTGGGGTGGGGGAGTGGGGGAGGGTGCATCAAACAATGATAGTTCTATTTTTACAAATAAAAACATTTTATATGTGAATATTATTAAGGGACTGCTGATCTATTATATTGGGGGGGGGGGGGGGGGTACATGTATTTTGTTTATTTATTTGTGTGTGTGGGGGGGGGGGGGGGGCATGAAAAAAAGTTGCATAAAAAGTGGTGGTGGGGATGTCAGCATTATATGATACAGTCCTTTGACCAATTCCCACCTCCCTCCTATAATAAATGACCAGTCGCTAAATGGATTGGAGGATCCAGCTCAGTGATTCGGCTGATTGCACATCATCATACTATGCTGCTTGTTGAAATCACTGGTTTATCTGGTCCAAACTTGATTATTTACGGTTTGCTGTGATGTAGTTGAATTGTTGCTGACTGCACGGTTAATGAACAGTTGAGTTGAATTATTATTCCTGGATACTCACCTATCGGAGAGAATTCCTATTACCAGGTGAACTTATTACTTTTCAGGGTGATCCCCCATTTTTAGGATTGTTTACACTGTAACAAGAATCGTTTTCAGACAATTTAGGAGAACAATTCCTCTAATTAGAAATACATTTCTCAATAAACATAACTTTAAAATTCTCGAAAAACATTTGTCGAGATATTAGTCTTATTCTTGGGCAAAAATTAAATTAAACTAAAACTATTTAGAAACAATCTTTTCCTGTGTACAATTTCATTCACAGCACTGAAGACACACCCCCAGTCACGTGATCATCTTGATCACATGACCTCCTAGTTTGGCAAGAGGCCAGAACGAGATCAGTCGGACGCTGGTGCGTTTTCGTTCACGTCGTGTTGTTGTCGGAATTAAAAGCTTATTGCTTTGATTTTGAACCGCACACGTTTGAAAACGAAACGTACATCAAGCATTTGGTAAGCATCATACAGTTGTAGATCAACTTGTTTCGTCGTCGGGATATCAGAACATTTTATGTTTACCGTCTGCCTGTTGCCAGTGTTGGGGTCGCATGGGCAACTACTAGGCCTTATAGGATGTAAGACTAGGCCAGTTTTCATACTTAGTGATGATTCAATTTAATTCACATGTCATTCCCCACACCTTATATACACTGTTGTGTACGATTTAAAGTGTTTTGTCAACATAGCGGTTAGCAAAAAAGCCATGTCGGCCTAACCACAGACCGATGACTACGTGAATGATTCAGGTCAACTAAAAATCTATTTTTCATCCGGAAATGCATTTGCAGATCGAAATAGAGACACGCATCACTGTTACATGCAACATACATGTCATTCTACAAACACTTGATTTCAGATTCTTGCTGCGTGAAGAAAATCTCGCTCACATTTCATTAACCTACGAAACAAGTCAACGAAAATGCAGAACACTATCGATTCTACTGTACAGTATCGATTAGCCAATTAGGTCTAGCAACTGATGAGATAAAGTCATGTCTATGCTCATATATAATCAGCCTATTTCTTACTAGGCAGTATAATGTAGACTGTATTGATACTCTTTGCAACCTATCCGGAAATTAGCACTTCTAAGAACAAGGATGATGTACTGTAGGATTCCAATCAGCTATCAACTAGGATGTCTTATGTTTACTGTTCATGTATTGTCAATAAAAGGACATGAGATATATGATAAAGGAAGGCTTTGGTCAGTATAGACCAGACTGATCATGGGACAAGATTGGGCTGTACAGGGTTCAGATTGGTTAAGTATCTTGGACATTTACTGAAGAATTTTCTTCAAATTGGATAGTTTAGTTATAATATAGGTCAAAAGATGATACAATTAGGAACATGCCCTAATGCAATTGCTTCCAGCCAAATATGTAATGTCTTGTACATGTTTGATATCTAATGGAATCTGGATGATATATTGTATGTGATATATCCGGGAGATAATATATATACTTTTCTGCAAAGGTCCGTGAATGGAGTTAGTGATAATCTGGTTCATTGAATTAGATCATCTTTCTGTAAATATTGTTCATGAAACAAACTATTGATAGATATAACTGTACAACGTGTGTGATATCTGCTCTGATATGGAATTGATATGTAAATGAAGAATATTGACACCAATGAAATTATGATGATTGCATCTCAATCCATGTGAACTTATGTTGAAAATATTTGTTAGTCTCAGTCAACATAATCAACTTTCAAATAGTTTATATATGTTGACAACAATGGTACTCTTTTACTAAGGACCTACTAGAAATAATGCTGCCCAAATTTGAAAACCATTGATTTGAACATGTTACAGTGATAGGTATTGCAATAACCCTTCAATGAAACCTTACATTGTGTACTTTTAAATACTGCCTTTAGTAGCTTTATCAATGTATTGATACTGATATTATTCAGTCTACTTTTCTATTCTAAGATTTCCAATTAATGATTGTCCAATGTCCAAGCAATACTGATAAATTGATTATACATAAGGCAACTACAGACCCATCACAATATATATTTTAAACTTTCAGCATGCTCAGTAAAACAACGGAAGTTGCAAATACTGAAAACAGTTTGTTTCCTGTCATTCACCTTAGGATGTTCATTTTGTTGGGAAATATAATTCTACTACCATGATTACCATGATCACAGACCCGTGAAGATCGGGGTTAGAATAGGTCTTCAGCAAACCATGCTTGCCATAAAAGGCGACTAAGCTTGTTGTGAGAGGCGACTAACGGGATCGGGTGGTCAAGCCTGCTGATTTGGTTGCAGCATGTCATCGATCCCAATTGCGTGGATCGATGCTCATGATATCAATCACTGGATTGTCTGGTCCAGACGCGATTATTCACAGACTGCCGTCATATAGCTGGAATATTGCTGAGTGCGGTGTAAAACAACAAACCAAACCGTGATCACAATTATACTGATGTTATGGCTCTATGCATCAATTGCAAGTAATGATGTCATTGATTGGAAAGTTAAGTATCAACTCAAAAGTATGACGATAGATAATGATTGACAAAATTAGTTATTCTGTATCTATATAGATGCATAAATTCGTATCTAGAACTAAGATTAGTCAACTTATTGTTAAACAATGCTAAATATGAACTTGGCTGATCTGTTAGAACATGTGTTAAATGTTTTAGATTGAATGTCAGAGCTACAGATAAGCTGCGTATTTGCGTAAGATACCCAAAAAATATTTAAAACCCAATTCCTTTCAATTAACTTGCGTACAGAAACGCAGGTATTATATGTATAAAAATAGCACGTGTAAATACCCAATGAAGCTTTTTCAGCATGTGTACAAATGTTTACTCATTTTGGGAAAAACACAGAAGAGTGATGAATAGATGAGTGAAAAAATATTGGTTACCCAATGAGGAATGTAATAAACCAATTAAAATAGAAACCATCGAGTAAAAATTCAATTGCTTAAAAAGTTATCTGGAGCTCTGAATATTCTTCCATCTTATTGTCCATCATAACAGTTGAAAATGATTTTGTCGAAGTGAATTATTGATTTTGTTTCTATATTCATCTGTTTGTATTGATACAGTAGGGTTAGAACTTTACACTAGCCTTCCAGGCCAGGGCCTGTACAAATTCCTGTGCGCTACTACAAATTTACCAATTTCCACATTGTTTTATCTTTTCCCGGGCTAGTAAAGCTTTTGAGTTTAGTTCTAACCTTGTGTAAATAGTATCATTATCAACGTAAACAAATCAATATACGATGGACCCGTGAAGATCCGTGGTAGAATAGGTCTTCAGCAACCCATGCTTACGGTAAAGGCCGACTATGCTTGTCGAAAGAGGCGACTAACAGGTTCGGGTGGTCAGACTCACTGACTTGGTTGATGCATGTCATCATATCCCAATTGTGTGGATCGATGGTCATGATGTCAGCCACTGGATTGTCAGGTCCAGATTTTATTATTTACAGATCGCCGTCGTATAGCTGGAATATTTCTGAGTGTGGTGTTAGGCACCAAATATACAAACAAACAATATACTATGACATCCCTAATAGCAAGATATGAATAATTTGATTAAAACCTATTTACGGTATACATAACAAGGGTTCACTCCAGGAATTTTCAGACATGGGCCCTTTATGTAAAAATTACAAATATTCCAGAGGTACACCTAGACTTGCCCATACAGCACAATGTCAAAATGCCCCATGGTATTTGAAAATGTGGGCCTTTTTAAACATTTAAGGGTTAAACATGTTAAAAGCACAAGGTCACACCCTAGAATTATCCCTGCATAACAATGCTGTTTGTTTCTTTTTTGACGCTGCACTCAGCCATATTATGACTATCTGGTTGCAGTCTGCAAATAATCGAGTTTCGACCGCAGTCTGGTGATTGACACCATAAATATCGTTCCATGCAACTAGGATGCGATGGCATGCAATCAACCAAGTCACCAGTTTGACAACCAGATCACATTAGTCAACACACCTCTAACAACAAGAATAGGTTGCTGGAGATCTATGTTCTCACCCTGATCCCCACGGGTTGTAGACAATGAATGAGTTATTTCATAATATTTTAGATTGATAACTGAAATGGACTTATCGCTTGGTGTCCTATTCAGAGCAGCCACATTTCGTGCTGTTAGGGTCAAAGTCTACATGTGTGGAATGCACTTGATTCTGTTTCAGGATGTCACAGAATGCCTTTCTGTTGAGTTATCTCAAATTAGTCACAAGTAAATATTTCTTCTTATGTTTTTGAATCAATAGTTATTTGTTTTATATATTTATTTATTAATTACCCACTCACTAAAGTAGGGTTTGGACAAGTAACTCGGGTATTCGGGTCGGGTGGATACTGAGTAGGACCCGGGTACCGACAGGACTCCCCGGACCCGTGGTTAGTCATGTGATATTTTGTTTAATGACAAAAATTATCTAGAACTCCATGGTTACACTACAAGTCACTAATGTTCGCATTTCTGACTAAGCACACATTCCTTCTGACTTTTATATGTTTGAATAAAGATAAAGTGACTGTCAACTTCAATGTATGCATAACTAGATGGTTTAATTTATACATGTACAGCTAAATATATTTTTCCAGGGCTACTGTCAAACTATTCCAAATCAGGCATTTTGTACCGATCTCTTGAGACCTATAGAAGGTACCTGGGTAAGATCAGGTAATAGGTAGTAGTCAAAGCCCTGCGCTAAAGTAGCATCTATTGTGTATGGTAGGAAATCCCTTCTTGATGTGACAATATGCCAGACAGGTCATCTGTGTGAACAATTTTGACAGATACAATGTATATCCTTAGCATGTCTATTTTTGCTTTTTAAGCTTCTTGTATTCACAAATGTTGCTATTGCAATGATTTGCGGATGATTGATTGATATTTGTTACATGTTTTGTTACTCATCAACTTTAGACATGTTCGAAATTAACATGGTTGCAGCCTGGTAATGTAGTAGTCTGAAATATTTATTATCCTGATAAACAAACTGGACGTTACTTTCAGTTAGAAACAGATAGTAGATATACTTGAAGAATGTTGTCTTCTTTCCATTTTGAGTAAAAGTTTCAATTATGCATTTAAACTTAACTGAATAATATCAATTCAGAAATTGTATTGCAGTGTTAGAGATTTGATGAAACTAGCCTTCTATGAGCTTGAAGTAACTATCAGCGCTTTGTAGCCTTGTTATTCATTCCACTTGCCTTGACGGACCCGTGAAGATCTGGGGTAGAATAGGTCTTCAGCAACCCATGCTTGCAGTAAATGGTGACTGTGCTTGTCGTAAGAGGTGACTAATGGGATTGGGTGGTCAGGCCTGCTGCCTTGGTTGATGCATGTTATCGATCCCAATTGTGCGGATCGATGCTCATGATGTCAATCACTGGATTGTCTGGCCCAGAGTCAATTATTTACAGACCACTGTCATATAG